TTGCATTTTAGGAACAAATAACGATTTTCCATGGTGACTACCAGTCCTCCACATAACAAATCTGTTGACGAAACATCAATTACAACATCACAAAAAAAAAATTGTCGGCGAAATGTCAGGTCGGCAAATTTGTTGTCAGCAAATTGGCTGTCGGCGAATTGGGTGTCGGCGAAACGTGCAGTAGGTGAAACATCCTGTCGGCGGATTCCGGTGTCGGTGCATTCTTTCGGTCAACAGTCTGTCGGCCAAACGTCCGTCGGCAAACTGGCTTTCGGCGAAATGTCATAGTACATTGTCCCCACTCCACACCGATTAATATCCAATGTTTTAAATGGTTGAAAAAAGATGGACTACTCCATTCAGGAGAAGGGTACACCTACATTTGTTTAAATAAATATATCAAATGACAAGGATCCATGAGGTTCTGACAACCTAACTAACGGTCACAACCTTCGGGGATGTTATAATAACGTTATGTGTTAACTGATATTGCACTTAATTGTAAGAACAGATTTAACACAATACTTAGTGAATGTTAATCTTACCAAATGAAAGTCCTTTAGCGATCATTTGCGTTCCTATTTCTCCGTCTCGGAGATTCTCGAAATACATCTTCACGTCAGTAGCATAGTCTAGACAACTCATGGGAAGTATTAGCGAATCAGAAAGCGCCCTCATAAGTTCTACCAAGATGTGACCGCTTGCCAAATGGAATTTGAAATCCGGATCGTAATAGGTCTCAACGAGTTCGAATGTTTCATAAACCGAATGGTAAGTGGGGTAAGATGCTACCGGGTATTTTACCTGAAAGATAAATAGTAATGATATATTAAATATATATTTGTATTATCACTTTCAATTATTGATTAGTTTTATTTATTTATAATTTTTAATTGTATAGGCCCAGGAGAATTATGCCAAGTAAACTTAATCACTTTAGAAATAACAGTCCTTTAACAAGACAAACGACATATACAAACCTCTGTAACTAAGTCTCACTATGAGTCTCTAGCTTTGAATTTGTTACTTGTGGCAGGAATTTAACCCAGAACCCTGGGGTTAGAAGATACCTATCTTAACAACAAGCTATTTAACGCCACTCTCTCTTCAACATCACTATCAGTGTACACTTCGATCATTCTGCGATGGAGTCGTCTCAATGATGTTAATGATAATAATAATTAAATGTTAAATTTTTACCTTGTCAAACGTGTATGTATAATCAGCTGCCGATATCCCAATTTGCTGCAAGAATGAGGCATAATCACTACCGGAACCTAATCCACCTATTCTGAAATTCAAAAGCAAAGGCAACGTAAACATCGTAAACACAGCTGACTGTAAATTGCTTATTATATATAGCCCACAAAACAAACAAAAAACGTTCTTATAACGTTCGCGAAAGTTGTGGTTTGGTATGTCACAAAATAACGTTCGCACAACGTTGCAGGAACGTTCAAACGTTATAACCTTGTGAAATTAAGGTCTAAGTACGTATATATCGGTCTACAAAATAAAGCATTCAACGCCAAACTTTAACGTTCTTATAACGTAATATTGTTAGTTGGCACTCCAAGTCTGAATTAATGAACCATAGCATCGGAGTAACCCTTATTAGATGTGTATAAGAGACAGCTATTAGGCTATTCCGTCATTAGAATTCAGTAAGTATAAAGTCGCAATAAAATCTATATTGGATATGGGACACAGAAAATGTAAAGACTGTTCATAACTTACTGTGGTTTTCCATTTTCACCCGGTGAAGATCTTGCTACCCATTTTTCGTATACATTGCCGCTACTATCTTCCGGGTCCATAACCTAATGTGAAAAAGTTGAATAATAATAAAACATTATTAACTATAATGACAAACTGCTAATGTATTCGAAGATTACGTAATATTGGCAAATAATGGAAAGCGAATAAATAATTTGTATTAAAGCCAGGTTCCGGAGGAAAAAGATGTTGATATGTTCAACTGATTTTTCAAAGACATAAAAACGGTGTTAGAGACGAAAAACTTTTACAGATACAGATTTTTGAAGGTTTAAAATATGGAGGAAAAGGGGGCGTAAAAGTTATATGATAATGATGATAGCCATAGCCCTTTAGTAGAGCCGTAGACGTATTCTAGCGTTTTGTCTTCAATATCCACTGTTCCGTGCCACTTTCTGATATCATCTATCCATGCTGTTATATGCCTTCCTCTCTTGAACTTTCCCGGCACTTCAACCTCAATAGTATAAAGTACTATGCTCTCCTCTCTGCGTTTCCAGTCGTAAAATTTAACAATTTTTTTTCTTATTATTTGTTACAACAAGCCATCCGCATTTCGTACCCCAATCAATTGTCGAAAATTTTCATTTGTAACCCGATCATGCCATGTAATACCCAGTATTCTTCTCCATATCCACATTTCTAGTCTCTGTCTTTTTTTTTAAGTTATATAATATATGATAAAAATTTATAATTAAATACTTTTTTTATGTTTTGCTTGTATATTGATGAATAGAGGTGGTTAACTCACAAAAGAAAGAAATAATAATATTACTTACCAGTTTAGTTGTTTCATAGATTAGTTTCTTGAGGTTCGGTGTAGCAGAGGCGCGTAAAACGTAGTTCCCTATATTCATAAATAACAAAAACAACCAAACATTAAAAAGAGTTAATTATATAGTACAATGTACATAATAATATCAGGCCATTATAATAATATTCGGATATACCAGAATATATTACCTTTTGCTATTTTTATAAGAGCTTTGAATGTATTTTTGCTTTTGTTTGTGTGTATGTAATAATAATCATATCAAATAATTATATAATAATACATAATAATAATCATTTATTTTACTTTTGATTTTTATGTGATTTATGCCACATATAGGCCTGCAGTATACTATAATCATCTTTTTTCACAATTCAGTTGTTGAAACTGCAATGAAATTATGTTATAACTTTTTTATTATGTTGATTATGAATAAAAAATACTTTGACTAAAATAGCCGGAAATGGGCAATAATGTGTAGTTAATAATGAATAGTAAGTGAAAAAAGAAACAGCATTGTTACCATATGGATTGATTACTTTTAAAAAATAATTTATTTGTAGCAAAGTTGTCGGTGTAACTATATTAAAATCTTGCAAAATGTTAAATTTTCTTATGTACAGAAAGAAATTTTTCCTAACCGTCAATAGCCACATCTACATTCAGGTACGTAACAGCCCTTTCTCCGAGATTTTTCGAAAATTCCTAAAGTTAGAAACCACATGACACAAACAAACATTAACAGGTAATATTTTTTTAATCTTAAAATTGTACACTTTGAAAATAATTCGTTATGCCCTGGTCATTTATTTAAAATTGACGCTCATCATGCGTTACTGTAAGATGCTGTAGGTTAAGATAGATAAACGTAGTAGAATAGACCATCTGGCAGCGTCATTGTGCTGAATTGCATATGGGCGTTGTCTGCTGGGGCAAATCCAGAGATGTCCGAAAGGGGGACCAAATTGGGACAGATCACCCCCCTTGGGTTTCAGGGGCATGACCCCTCGAAATTGTTCTTTTCTAGACGTCCGAAAATAACCTCTAAGGAGTTTTGGGCAATCATTTTTTGTCTTTTTCTTTCTTTCTTTCTTTCTTTCTTTCTTTCTTTTTTCTCTTCATTTTTATTTTACTTTCTAAAAAGTGTGGGGGGTCCGGTCCGCCCCCACCTCCCGCAAACCCGCCCTTGGTCTATGACTAGTTTAGCAGCCATCCGCTTAGTAACTTCATGATCACATCACTCCAAGTCTGAATTAATGAACCATAGCATCGGAGTAACCCTTATTCTTCTGATATGCAATGTGTTATTTAAAGTCCACACGAGCCAAGTGTGTACACACCTCCTGTCTCAGTTATCCGATAAGACTTTGTTCTACCAACTGAACCCTGGGCGAGGAGCGAATCGAACCATCACCGATGTTAAGGTCGTAGTTAGCTGCACCCCTGCCCTACCGCTAAGCCATCCAACAAGCTAAAATTTACACTTACCTCAATCCACTCTGTTGATCCAATAAGACCTTGCTCTTCTGCTCCCCAGCTTCCAAACACAAGAGTTCTGCGTGGCCTCCACCCTGAAATAAAATTTATAGTACTTACAATATCGTTTACAAATGGCCCTACTAAAAATATTTAAAAATATCTCGGAAACTAAATACAACCCGGCTAGATACGCGTTTAAAGCATACCAATTTGGTTGTATCAATTGATAACTTAAAATACATTTGAAACAAGGATTTTGTTTTGTATCCATACGGTAAAACGTTCCAAAGTAATGATGAAAGAAATTGTTTGGCGATAATGGGCACACAAGAGTGGCCGGATGGGCAGTACCGGTACTAAAGGATGTAACACCGAGCATAATAACCCCAAAATTGGAACAGGGGCGATATAATGCAAGGAACGTTGCAGGAACGTTCAAACGTTATAACCTTGTGAAATTAAGGTCTAAGTACGTATATATCGGTCTACAAAATAAAGCATTCAACGCCAAACTTTAACGTTCTTATAACGTAATATTGTTAGTTGGCATGGGAGCAAGATTATAAAGACCCAGACCACATCACCGCATGTTGCGATAGCTATCTGAAGCCACTATACCAAGAGGCACCAGGATTATATGAATGAATTTGGTTTTATGTGCTTAGTTTTAAACGTGTAAGTAAAGTAAGATATCGCATGAACGTATCATATTTCAACCTCATTACTATGACTATGGAGATAAACCTATTAGGCTATTCCGTCATTAGAATTCAGTAAGTATAAAGTCGCAATAAAATCTATATTGGATATGGGACACAGAAAATGTAAAGACTGTTCATAACTTACTGTGGTTTTCCATTTTCACCCGGTGAAGATCTTGCTTTACCGGTACTAAAGGATGTAACACCGAGCATAATAACCCCAAAATTGGAACAGGGGCGATATAATGCAAGGTTGGCGACCAAAAACCGCCAAAAAATTGGAAATATATACCAACTATTTCCCATTCCGGCTAAATATGCGTTTAAACATACGGAATTTTTTGAATCAATGCTTATTGATAACATTGTTGAAACAATTACTTTTATCTGTGTTGAAATTAGGTCTATATTGTTCTTGTTGGAACAAAAAAAATAATATTTGAATTTCTCTTTTTGTATTGAATTTCTCTTTTTGTATATTTTTTAAGCAAGTCATTAGGTTTTATTATTAGATTGCAAAAATATTTTTCTCGTAAATTAACAAATGTATAAATATACCAATGCTTTTTTTTTAAATACAGACACTTAGATTGGAATTTTAAAATATTGTAATGGAATGTATGTAAATTAGTAGAATGTACTTAAGCAACTTACTCATAATTTATGTCTATAGGTATACATACCCTTATCGACCATAGTGGAAAAAGCTCTTGCAACTTCCATAAGAACAGATATCCCTGATGAATCGTCAATTGCTCCGAAGGCCCATGCGTCTCTATGGCTACCAGCAATAACGTAGCGATCTGAAAACAATGTATGTTTATATCTTATACTCCTATAGGATAAATGTTTAGAATGTGTTACTAGTGGTTGTGGGAAGAATTGTGTTTCTGGGAATGTTCATTTTTGTTTATTGTATGACGTCGAATTTGTAATAAATAATAAAATACGTTGGTATAAACATTACAGATCTTACCTGGTTCGACCTCTCCTTTAATCATCCCGATCGTGTTGTATCCGTAACGTTTTTCATTTGACGAAAATATGTTCATTCTCACACGTCTGCAATTAAGTGAAACATACTTTGAAGCTATTTCTGAAACTATGAACCTTTGCGAATTGAACTAGAGCATTCAAACCATATAGTGCATATCCCCGCCCTGTGCCTGAATACAGTACCCACATTACGCAGGCTGTGAGAAGGCCTATAATAAGCGAAACTGCAGAACACCCTCAATGAGATAATAGAATGGAATTATTTTCTTTAGTGCTGCAGAATACCCTAAACAAATAATGGAATCACCTGTTGTATTCAAGCACATTGGTTTTTTTTTTGGTTTTTTTTTTTGGGGGGGGGGGGTTTAGCGCCGCAATCATCCTTTTTACGGTAAGGTATTGTTCTTAATTTTTTTTTTTTTTACTACAATGACCGTTGAGAAAATCAAGTATAATAATTTATTATTATAAAATATTTTTTCGAATTATTGTCTTTGGCTTTACTGTATTAGAAATAGCAAATCACTGCAAATGTTGTAAGACATAATTAATATGTTGAGTAATTAATTGTTTACTTGTCCTGGTCTGGGGTAGCAAATCCAGGTCCATAACGATAAGTAATGTTCAGGTTGCCTTTCCATGATGAAACAACCTCGTTTCCTCCGAGCAGTCTGCAGAAAACAAATTGAAAGCACATTAACCTAAATCCAAAATTACAATGATAGATATTAAAGTTAAAAACAAAAATACTATAGGTACAATAACAAAAGTAAAACAAATAGAAAAGGTGAGGCCATAATAACTCAACGTTTCGACTTTATTAAGTCATCATAAGGAATAACATATTTATAAACAGTGAACACAGAGAGAATAAGTATAAACAAATTTGTAGTAGGCCTCGTAAATAATGAAAGAACACATACAAGATCATAAGTAGGACCGGAAATGTGCTGCGGCGGCTGTTTATGATCTTTGTTTATAATTTTTTTAGGCCTATTTGTCTCTATTGTCGTGTATATTGAAGTAGACATGAGCCTCTGCGGTCTTTGTGTCATTTAAGAAAGTCATGAATCTTGAATATTATAAAACAAGTGTCTATTGAAACTTGAAACTAACTTGAAACTAACTCTTGTTATTCATGAAACTTGAATACCAAACATTAATCACTAGTCTCCGTATGATTCTGTTTCTTTCTATATGGAAATACGACGGTAAATGTTATAATAATCAGTTCAAAGCAATTAAACATGTTCTTGTCTCGTCGAAAGTGTGCACATAGACCACACATAGAATAAATCAAGAATAAATTTAGTCTAAAAAGCCAAACAAAGTAGGATTAACATAAAGCAGAATATTGACTAACTTCAGGAATTCAGTTGCATCGTCGTAACCGATCGGGTGCACTGGAATAGCTGGGAGCAAGGAGGCTATACTTTCTTCACTATTACGATACGTATAATCTGTAAAAGATCGAATCATTACCAATGACTAATAGAAACCACACATTTGCATAATCATTTTCATCATCATAATTATCCACTATTGTCAACATACCATCAACAAAAACAACAACAGCAATACACTATTTTTAATAAGAACCAATAAAATTTTTCCCAGGCTCAATGTTCTTATTTTTTTGCGATTTTAGGCTCAAAATGTTCTTAATTTGTTCTTAGTTTTATACACTTTACACGTAGAAAATTATTATTGTACAGCAGTATGTGTACTGTATTATAGAGGGTATTACATAGTAACTACTACTGCAAAAAGATACGGATAAGATGTTGGTTTACTATTTTTTTTTGTATAAAAATCTTATTTGACAGTTTACTTTGGGCTCAATTTGGTCTGATTTTGTTCTTAATTTGGTGGCAATTTCAGCCTCAATGTTCGTATAAAATGCGTTCTTATTAAAAAGAAAAAAAAAGCAGTAGAGTAGTAGTATCAGCAGCAGCAACAACGGTAGTATAGTAAGTATATATCATCGTTATCATCATAATCGTACCTATCATCATGTTGCATCGGTTGTGCATACTGACTTTTCTAACAGTGTTTCAAAATCGGGTGCAACGTGTTTAAGCATTCATCCTATTTAAATCACGGTAAATTCATAAAAATGATATAAAATTAAAACAGATTTCACAAAGTTTTATGTAGGCCTATAAGGCTTGACTCTTTCATTTTCTATTCTCTTTGACAATGTTCAAACATTGAAAGAAAGAAAAAATAACCTTTTGCCGGGTAGCCTTGGGTAAGAGGATCGCCTCTGCCCAAGTACGTCGACCCTCTTTGACAGCCTGTTCCAGGTAGATATATGCCCTCTGGATACACCTTTGCTCCAGGAACGGCGTAGTCTCCAGGATCGGAGTACAGTATTATCCCTGCTGCACCCGCCTCTGCAGCATTGCGTACCTTTACATATAGAAATTTATGAAATGTAATACGGTATCCGCTAACGATATTACAGTACGTCTAAATGCGTAATAAATTGTATACATATATTATACACGTGTTGTAAAACCTTAAAGTACAATTGCAAAATTATCAACTGTAAATGAGATTTCTTAGAATATCTGCGTCGGGCAGAATATATTAATATTTGCGTGTAATACACATAAACTTAGATTTTTGAGTTTGCGTATGCAGTTATACAAAATCACTAAAAACCGGATTTTTTACGTAATGGTCTATAGTACACAAAAGCTAAGAATATGAAAGATGTTTTAGGCGGGCGAAAACACTCTTAAATCGAAGTAACAACGTTGTCCTCTGGATATATGAATTGGATTTGAACGAAAGCTATTGAGTTGGAGTATATCCAGAACTGTCTATACTGAATATAGAGGTACAAAGTGCAGTAAAGTAATAAGTGAATTATTTTCGTGAGGTAGTTATAAATATTCTATTATTGTGGTTGTGGATAAACCTAGTTTGTATTTGATGCTTACCTTATCACCTCTGAATAATTTCCCATATCTTGCAATAACAACCTTCTCAGTCAAGTTCAAGGACAAGTTTCTTTGCAGGAAATGGAAGTCCTCCACGCGAGCGTAGTTAGCGTACACTAGTTCGCCCTACAGGTAAAATATGATTAAACGTGAATCAATTTAATAAGTCAGTCATTAGTCTAACATGCTATTATATTGGCTCTCTCAGAACCTCAATTCATAATTCTTAATTAAAGGCAGGTTCCGGAGGAAAAAATTGTTTTGATATATTGTAGGCCTACAACATGATTTTTTTTCACGAAAGCATATTTGGCATGAAAATTCAGAAGCGGACAATGAAAAAAATTTCTTTAAAATGATTGTGTCATCCTGGCTAAAGATATTAGTAAATAAATAAATAAGTAAATAAATACAGATTTTTTAATAATAAAAAAAAATGGAAGGAACCACCCATTTTTCCACTAGTTTTTAAATATTTGAAAATCTCAGTATCTCATTAACCACTCTCTAAAACCACTGTCAACAATAAAATGTGAACTCTTCGTTCTCGATTGACTTTATGAGGATTGAGAAGTTATGGTGCATTCACACCGAATCCGAATTTGTTGGATTTCAACCCTTACCGAAGCGATCAGAAAATGGAATCAGTGTGTAACAATAGAGACGCTGGCGTTCAGGGCTTCGGAGACGTGGCCAAAATCGATTCGGATCCGAAGTGAATGTAGCTCTAAAACTCAATGAAGTATGTAGGCAATGAAGTACAACTCATGAGATTAAAAAAAAAAAAAAACCTTCTAGCTCGGTAGTGAAGAACATGCGTTGCAAAGTTTGTCTACAATCAAACATGTACAACTAAAGTTACACCAAACCATAGGGTTACTAATCTCGCGTTGAAGATTATTATACCAAAAATTAGCATTAACCAACTTTCGTCATTTCTCGGATTGTTGTTTCACAAATCACAATTGTTTCCGTGAAATGAGAGTTCAACCTACGTCTTATTTTCGTATATTTCATGATACCCTGCGGTAGGGTAGGCCTAGTTCCAAGACTTAATTATTCTGTTTAGACCTATTTGTGAAAAGCCAAGTAATAAGAAAATTATTTTACTTACCCGTCCTGAACATCGTATATAATGATAGTCTTAACTAACTCGAATGTTATTGAATAAGATATCGTATATGCTAGACTTGCCACAAGTCTCTAATTTATTGATTTTTCGTAAAATTAGCGAATTTCGGAATGCGCCACCAGCGTCAGTTTATGTCGAGAAACTTTTTTGATGCGAATTAAAAAAATAATCCAAGAAAAAGTATACTATGAAACGCCAAGCAAATAGGTAATATGGAACGCCATTTGTGCCAAAATCGATTTTTTTTCTAGCTTTTTGACTGATTAAAGATTAGGGACTGGCACCCAGTCTAAGTATATGCCTATCAATCAATCAATTGTTCCATTGATATGGCGCCATTCCGACTGTCTTTGCTCGTGGTGCCGGTCCAAAATCAAGATTATTAAAAAAGATAGTAGTAAGATAGTAGTTAGTGACAAATGATATCTGGGACCCTAAATTAAAAGAAATCTCGGAAACATTTTTATGTGGTGTTAATATTAATTAAACAAAACACTATAGCAATTTATTGGTGAGACTAACTGTGATGATCCCTGCTGGTGAATAAGCGTTGAAAGGGGGCAGTAGATCGTCTCGCTCCAACTCTGGGTCGCCAAGGGAGTCCTCCTTCAATTGTGTTGTAAATATAGGATTTCCGGCTGCATTCAGTAGTTCAATCTGATAAATGTAGAAATAGACAATTATTATTATTAATTATTATTATTATTATTATTATTATTATTATTATTATTATTATTATTATTATTAATAATAATAATAATAATAGTATTGTTATCATCATCACCATAATCATCCTCATCATCAGCATTAACATCATCATCTTTGAACTATCAACTATCATCTCCTTTGTTTGAAATTAGCCAATTTAAACTTACTCTGTTCTCTTCTCCCACTACCTCAGACGGAAATGATAAAAGAACGTTGTAACTCAAAACCTCAGCGCTCATTCCCCAGTCAATCCATTTCTCTTTCATCCATTCTGCTTGTTCTTTGCTAAATTTCGTTCCAGCAACGTGCGGATTACTAGTCATGTACCTAAAAATGATGTTTAGAAAAAAGCAGTAAAGGCATTGCAATCTGAAATTATGTTTCCATGATGACCGTCTCATAAAACTATCCGACTCACGCAATACATTTTGTGGATAAATAGATTCGGTTTTATAGTATGTCCAAGCTTGGTTTCAGGTTAAATTTGGGAAAAGTTCCCTTATGCATAGGTCCACGGCGTTCTCTTTACCAACTAAAATAATAGGTCACACAGAGACAAGAAGTTAAACCCCGTCGAACATATCAATACAACACTGGCTTTAGAAAAAATATTTGGGCAGTGTATAGGCCTATTTCACAACGTCTCAGAAAACCAGCGCGTACCAAGATGGCCCTTGAACCACACTGACCTCCGCCGGAAATTATCAGACCTTTCGGACAGTTTAACTACTTCTCCACCACTACCGACAGAATGCCGGAGTCACATTAACTGGCTATTTAAATCTAAACATGTGATATACTGGCTTTAAATTATATCCGATGTTATCTGAACTCATTTCTTTCAAATTCAATTGCCATTTATTCAATAATGAATTAAAATACAAAAATGAGTTTTGAATGGGAAAGATAAATGTGAATTAAAAAGACAAATCAGACCAATATATTAGGATCATCATGATTAGAAGTAATACTGGCAGGGACGTAGCAAGAATTTTGAAAGGGGTGGGGGGAGCTGTTATGTGAATTACGTAGGACCCCGGCGGGGTCAAGGGGGCGAATCCCCCTGTGAAGTAGCGCACTCTGAACGTTCTTAGGACTCTTTGAGAGGATAAAGTGAAAATTGCAATAGATGCATTATAAATAAGCGTAAAAATAATTATATAATAAATCAACAGTTTCATATCCAATAATTCGAAAGAGAGGAACCAGGGAGGGACATTCACAGACTGAGCAACCACTCACCTCAGACCCACCATGGTTTAAGGCTGAGGTAAGAAAATGTATGATTTGGGCATCTCTAGACGGCCGGAAATTACACTCTCGCACTTCAATTTGAATATATTTTTCTTTTTTTCCTTAAAAAATGAGGGCGAGGGGGGGGGGGGCTTGATTCCACCGCTGCTCAAAACATTCTTTATCCAGAATAGTCATAATCACGAAAAATGGAAATGAAAAACCAGATCACATCCTAAAAACAAACAGCAGTCACTAAGACATACATCAGGAGCCGACTCGATGGAGTTTAATGTCATACCCAGGGAAGGGCACAGATCTGTTTTGAAAGGTGGAGGGGGAGGGCATTTTGTAAAGTCGACACCCACCTCAGCCCCACCATGGGTGGAGCTGAGGTGAGAAAATTTGAGGAAATAGTACCTCTAGATGGCCAGAAATGACACTTTTAGTAAATTTCATCATCATCACATCACCATTAGTCAAAATTAAGCGCCAAAAAAAAATTCTCAAGATCTTTTATCAGGGATTTTTGACAACCATAGAGATCTTCTTAATGTGTGTGTGATATACCACAGAAAACAAAGCTTAAAAACATTGTATTTGAGTATGTACTTTACATAGGCCTACTTCAAAAACGTGATTTCACAACCACCACAGCCCCACCATGGCTGGGGCTGAGGTGAGAAAATTTGAGGAATTAGTACCTCTCGAGATGGCCGGAAATGACACTTTTATATAGTAAAATTCATCATCATCAAATCACCATTATAGTCAAAATGAAACGCCAACAAATTTCTCATGATCTTGTATCAGGGATCTACTTAATATCCAGGACAACTTAGGCCTAACTATAGCTTATTAAGCTTTAACTATATATACTATATTATGATCAACAAATCACAGCTTTTTTCGCATTTTGCACGATTTTCTTCACTTTTTATTGCTATTACTATTATTACTATCAATTATTACTATCGTCATCATCATCATCATCATCATCATTGTTATTATTATTATTACTATTAGTAGTAGTAGTATTATTAAACAAAAATTTTAAGAAACTTTGAAAAGGATAAAAACGAAATTGAACCACAGTATCGCATTTCTATCTTAAAAGACTTGGCCTGAGATTTTTGAATTTAAGATTTTTTTTAAATCACGCTTAGGCCTATGTATAACGTGTACTGATGCATTACATGTTTTAAAAATATTCATTTTGAGTGATCCCAAGAAAGAATTTGTATTGGCTCAAGAATAAGCTTTAAAATTGTAACACTGTGTACAAAGGGGGTGGGGGAGCCTAGGCTCCCACGGCTCCCCCCCCCCCTGGATTCGTCCCTGAATACTGGTCTCATCATGACCCCATGAAATAGATAAATGGGGGAAAAAAAGAAAACTTAAGAGCTTCTTCAATAAGATTGCGATGAATTATCTCATGAGTCATATGCTTATTCTTGTCCTATGCAAGCTTCTATATTTTTTGGAACATACGCCGGAGGGTTAGATTTTATACCGGAATATCCATTAATGTCTCCCATTGCCAATAGCAAAGGCGCAAAATCCTCCTGTAAAGACAATCATCTGCAATTATTGTCCATGTGCAAGCACCCACAGGGAGCAGAGTGCAGCTCAGTCGATTAAACTGTTGGTAGGCATTGTGTGTATTGAACCGTAGGTCTCCGGTTCAATTCCCAGCTGCTCTCCTTGCTGGAAGGCTGAAATGCAAGTTTCGACAGTGCACCGTTTTTCGGATGAGGCGTTTAAGCCGTTGGTCCCGTGTACATTATGGTCCATGTGCACGTTAATGAACGTAGTACACTATTCGGAAAAGAGTAGCTGCAGGGGTGCTACCAGGATATGTCGACGGTGGGTACGACCCTGGGTTGGGGCAGGGGTGGCGACTCCTCGACGAGAGCAAGTGCGTGGTCGGACGCCGGTTGAAATCTCACGGAAGTGATCCAGGGGAAAATCTCCCAGAAAATATGACAATTTAATGGTTGAACAGGCTTATTTATTTAAGAATTTTAGCGTCTACTAATTGCTTGATTGAGTGATTTTATTCAGTATCTTAATCAGTAAATACAAAAATACAAAGTAATCAATGACAAAGAAAACAAAGACAAAATACTAAGGATGACTAAAGAAAGGTAAAATATAAACACCATTTTCGTATGGGTCTTCATTATTAAAATAGAACGTACAAAAACATAGAAGCAAAAAAGCAGCATAAGATAGAAACAAAATTTAGTAATGTTTGACAATAAATAAATTGCAATATAAAAGCTGTCTCTTATACACATCTAGATGTGTATAAGAGACAGGATATATTTCATATGTTGTATAATCATCACATTTAATACGCTCAAAAAGGTAAGACGGGCTACCTTAATTGATTTAACGTTAATACAATATCATTACTCAGTGAATTTTCTTTAATCGCGTTTTAATATTGTATACAGTTTAGTACGTGTATACCTGTACATTTCGTTAGTGCTTTTGTAGATGTGTGCTTCATCTTTAGTTAATTCTTCTTTTTTTTTAAATAATTTTCTTTTGTTTAACCATTTGTAATATATGTTACAAACTTGTAACGTTTTAGATGCTCGTCGACCATCCTTGCTCAAGCATTGATTCTTAATGCTGGTCAAACCGCTATATACGCGGTCTGATACGCCCTCTATCGGTAGGTGAGTTTTAATCTTTGAGACAGGTGTCCTCCTTGTCTTTTTTTTTTTTTTTTGGTTGTTTAGTTAACTTGTAAATGAAACATTTATTGATATTTTTTGTAATCAAGTGCAACGTACCACTCGTGTGTGTGCCACCGTTTCAAAGGTGTATGTGCAAAGTAAATAAATCATTACATACGGTACAAAGGTGAAGTGGTTAATGAATTCCCATTATTTTAGGCTGGTAGACTGTTATTGACAATGACAATGGCAATAAAAATAATAATTCTTCATTTTCCTTAAGAAAAAAAAATCAGCAGTATAACGTACTAAAATATTGTAAAATTGTTTGGCCTTAATATAAAGTTTTGGATAGAAAAGGCGATATACACATACATAATTACTAATTACATAATGATACGTACATGAAAAATTTTCAAAGAACTAATAATATTTCTAACATGATATTTTTTTCTTACATTCAAGTGTTTAAAATTCAGCATTATTTGAGCATGCCGATCGATCATCATAATAAACAAACATCATTATTTATCTCCAAGATATGCAGCACGGCCAACAATTCCTTCACCTGCATTAAAAATACTCGCTCTGATATTCCCCATCTTCATGCTAAGCGCACCTAGTGTAAGTTTTTTTTATAATTTCTAGCGGAAATATCAACTTCAGGGGGCGGCTCTTGAATTTTTCAAACGTGAGGACAGATAAGTAGCGATTATTTCAATACATAACATTGATATGCATTGCAATTTTAAATTGTATTACCAAAACGGGGGACACGTGCCCCGTGCCCCCCCCCCCTTTACTGGATACGCTCCTGAGCTTGAAACTCAAAAGAAATATATTGTACATATACGCAGAAGTCTGAAATAATATTCTACATTTTCCCTCTCTCTGACCACAAAGACTTATTTCACAAAGGATTAGCTTCCTGATTGACCTGCTGAATACCGTAGCCTACTAATGCCAATTTAAAATATGATTGAAGTGTTTACCGATAACTGATAGCTGGTATAAATTGTAGGCTTATCTATGTCATTAATAGATATACTCGGTGAAGATATATAACTATGTCATTAATAGTTACATATTTTCGCAGAGTATACAAAATACAGTACCGGTACTTTGGTTACTACACTGTGTGCTTAGTTCAGAACGCGGACTCCATGGACAATCTTCACCATCGTTAAAGTAAATTACTTGGAACATCTAACACAGTGTTGGTATTGTTCATTAAAAGACATTTATTGATGTTTTTGCTATCACTGTATTAACTAAGATAAGTTACAATAAATATAATTAATTAATTAATTACAGACTTTACCAAAGAAAAATAAGGAAGCCAATGTACAGATGAGTTCACATGCATTGGTAAAACAAAATTATTAAATATACGATATAAACATGATTTGCAGTGTCCAGATCATGGTAATTTGAATACCGCGCCCCAATTCATTTGGTAGCCTCGCGGATAAGTTGGTGAACATAAATTAGAGGTACAGCCATGGGAGGCACACAACAGGTTATTTGGGCTTCAATCATAAAGAAAATATCCATTTTATACACTGGCTTACACTACCCAGTTAATTCACTCTCATGTATACCGTGACTATGAATATTCAAGACAAAACCTATAGAAATAAGTGTATAAGTCATTACATTTTGTAGGTGTAGTAACCCTTCTCTATTATTATAGCTTTATTACGGTACAGAAAGGCTATTTTATTATCCATTGATCCACTTTCCTTCCTCCAGTGCATTCATTTACACTGGCGGTTCAAATTTTTTTTTGAAAATTGAGAAAAAAAAAGAAATTATATTCAAATTTAAGTCTGAGAGTGTCATTTCCGGCCAGCTACAGTAGGGGTGTGCCATAATAATAAATGTCTTACCCCAGCACCTCCAACCATGGTGGGGCTGAGGTAATCTAAACCCTCATCTGTAAAAGTGTCTCCCATGGTCCCCTTCTATTTCGAATTCCTGGATCCGCCACTGATTTATTGCTGTAATTATTTTGTTTGTACTTGTTTTTAGTTTTCATTACTTGGTCTTTGATTGATTTCATTAACATCAAATTACATTATCATCATTATCATTAGGAAATGAATTTCGCAGATGTGCATGCCTGACTTCCTTTGGTTTGAATATCAACAGTTCGAGTACACAATTAGATCAAAACGCAGAAATTTGGTTATCTTCGTACATGGTATGCTTAAGACCTTATAACTGTGTTATATAGAATTTACATGTATATCTGGAAATAAATGAATAAATGAATACCAATACAGTATTACATATATTAATATCTTAATGGTAATCTTACATATCTTTTGATTATTTTAAATGGACCTAGAATTTTCCAAATGTGGGAGCTAAATTATCAAAATAAAAAAAAATGGGGAGCACCAGCCTACCTCGAAGGGAAACACCGTGCTACCATGGACCTATCATGGTGCTACCTACTGGATCCGCCTTCTGGGCATGAACAGTGGAGAATGGCAAGAGAAAACAAGCCACCAACTAAATTTATATAAGCTAGAAAGATAAAAGCATTAATTTAAAAAAAATGGGTACCTTCATCAAATGTTGATACAACTCTGACATACACAAGGTAGGCCTACTTATTAGATACAAGAAAACCTATAAAAAATATTGGGTGACAGGACAAACCACCTATAGGCTATAATAAATTTCACACGGATAGTGGTGGCCACTGTATAGAAAATTAATTTGATTGGTATTTAATATATCGGTATAAATACATTAATGGATAAGAACCCCGTGATGAGTCAAAGCAATACACACAGTTTATAAAACAGCTATAATAAAAGGCGATACATATAAAACAAAATAATGAAAAGTTCGTTATTATTTCGTTTTTACTACTGGGTATAATTTCATAGGTAATATTATATAATAAATGTCACAATATAAACATAGGTTGTATCTTTAGGTATAGTGTTCTAAAATGCCTTCTGGAGAGAGAGTGTATATTTAAAGTCTTTGGCTTACCACTAAGCTACCAAGTGTGTACAAGTGAGTCGAATGGCAGAGCGGTTAAGGCAGGGGCACCGCAACCTACAGTCATCGGCTCTGGTTCGAACGGCACGGTTAAGGGTTCTGGTGGTGGAACAAGTCTTTTTGAATAAGGACTATAAACCCTATGTCCAGTGTGCACTATTGACTCACTCTCACTTTAAAGAACCCAGTACATCTTTCGAGACGAGCATGGGTGGGGTGGGGGAGGTTTATCCCGATGTGTTGGTCCATACTGTCCCTGTTAACCTGTGGTTATAGATCGTTGGGTCATCTGCTTTGTACATGCGTTAACGTAAACGTAAAAACGTAAACCGAATATATTTAAAGCCAAATAGGCATATGCAACTCAAAATCTAAATACTGTACCATATAAGTCCGTTTCGTAATGCAAAACATAAAAACTCGCTCAGAATCCAATGTGCAATACTCATCCAACCAAAGCTTTAAAATGAACTCATAGCACTTGGTCTAACCAAATGAATTTTAAAAATAAAATTAAAACCAACAAAAATGCTTCATTCTCGTCAAACTCTTATAACCTTATAATATATACTCCCAATTTGGTGTTTTAGAAGCCTGAACTATTGTAGGTTACAAGGTAAGGGTAGCCTAAACCAAAATTTTGCCCAGGCTTAGTGTTCTTATTTGTTCTTTGCCAATTTCAGACTGAAAATTTTAATATTTTGTTCTTATTTTACACACACTGAGGGGGAAATTATACATTTCACTGGATATTTTGATATTTTGTGTCGTTCAATGATGGGACATTTTACATTATATCACATGAATGAAATTAATGGAGTTAATGTTCATATAAACCTTTTAAGCATTCAAACTTAACTGTATGTAATGAGCTTGTTTTGTTGTTTTTTTCTATTTAAACAATAATAAAACTTCATTTGACATTTTACCTCAGCCTCAGAAATTTCAGAAACAGTGTTCGGTATGAAATGTGTTCTTATTTTTTAAAAAATGTATTCCACCAAATGGAAAAATATAAAATAACAACAATAGTATTCGAACTACACAATGTTTATACTAGAAATTCATCATCGTTAACTGTGCCACTCAAAGAAATTACCAAGCCAACAGAGATAAGGCCAACAACTACTTATCTTATGAAAACATATTATTACAGTACCTTGATCTCATTAGCATTTAGAGTAGGCCATATACAATGTTATTAAAAAACATCTGATAGTCCAAATAAAATTTTGTTTTAAATAATTTATTTCTGTATTTATCATGCAATCTTTATTGAATTGTCAAATATTTTATGTTTCACGAGACCTTCTTGTCTTAGCTCAATGGTCACCCTCTTTAAACACACAGTAGTTAATAGGAGTGTCTATGCAGTTTCGAACGCGAGTAGGTGACTTAACTAATTTCCTAGATTCTGTATCAGTTAATCTAATAGGAAGTCGCTAAATGTTTGCGCACTTTCCCTTCGATTTCTTTTGTGTAACTTTGAGATACCTAATGAGTGTTAATCTAGTAATTTTGTAGACAAACAGTAAATCCTACATTTTCAAAATTCGTTTGAACATATTTCACTCCAAATGCACAAAAACATAATAACGCTACTTAATTCGGTTTATAAAATTTTCCCAA